AGCCTTAGAAACATGTTGGATTGTGTACCTGGATTACTGAGCCTGGGCTTTGTTGTTACGGTGCACGTTAAAGCCAGGTGTGGGGAAGGCGGCAGTGACTGGCAGTGACCGGCAGGGGGCGCTGTGTCCTGCACTGCTCCGCTGGAGCCAGAAGACTTTCTTCTTCCTGCTTTCTCTCCACACCTACAGTTTCTGGTGCCGGTCTTGGACAGTGAAACAAGAAGGCGTCTGACTCCATGGGTAAGTTGGGTTATGTCTGACACGTCTCGGTCCAATTCCGATTTGTAAGAAACCGGAAATGATAAGTAACGTAGGGTTGTGTTCGTCATCCCGGAGGACAGAAATGAGTGAAACGTGTTTCCCCAGAGTTCAGCAGATCGACTGTCAGGAACATTATGGACACATCATCTTCTTCTTTAGACTCCGATTAAAACCGGTTTATTCTCCGTGTTTCCGGTGGGTCGCTTTCAAAGTAAGACAGTTTATCTGCCTTCAAAATATGAGTCGGTCTTTATTTTCTTCCGTCCGTCCACTCATTTTAATTTATTTATTTTTAATCTCTCGCGGTTTTTTGGGGGTTATGTGCGGCGTTTCCCCCAAGTTAAGTTGGGTTGAGACGTTTTTGAATGAATAACTTATCAAATGTGAAAAAATACATGTTTTTTTTTTTTTAGTGATTCCGTCATTTTTGTTTGTCTAATTTGTCAATCATGCATTTTTTTATGTTCATGTGATTTCAGCAACTAGAAAGTACATAAATTTATAACGATCCTCATAATGTGAATGTTAACGAGTCGAAATGATAATAGCAAAACTGCCAACGCTTACACTGAACATACACTGGAATAACACTGGACATACACTAAACATACACTGAACATACACTGGACATACACTGGACATACACTGAACATACACTGGACATACACTAAACATACACTGGACATACACTGAACATACACTGGACATACACTGAACATACACTGGACATACACTGGACATACACTGGACATACACTGGACATACAAAGGACATACA